AGAAGTTTCCGGAGCTTTGCATTGGGAAGAATCAGGAATTCTAAGGAGAGGAGTTTCTACGTTGGACAAGGATGGCACCATTTACATGCTATTTACCTTCAAATATTTTCCTTGCAATTTATGAAATATGTGTAATTCAAATTCTCTGATATTAAAAGTGATCTGAAATAGGCCAGGGAAAGTCCAATGCTCAGTCTAAGCCAGTTTCTGACCAGATACTGTACCTTGAAGTCATACCAACAAAACTCCCTTTAATTTAATTTTCCTTTTGGAAAGAGAAATCTTGCTGTTTGCTTAGAACTTACATAGTATCAGAGGGTGCAAGGTGCAATGGGGTCACGAGAAGTATTTTTCCCCCGAAGATCTCTAAGCCTCCTCACAGTTTTCCATGTTCTGTAAAAGTGTGAGAGAACAGCAGTGCTACCATGTAACATAGCTCACATACCTGAAAACATCATCATGTGCTGAAAATTGCAGGGAATCTTCTGTTTTCGGCCCAGATTCAGGACGAAGGAGAGAGGGTATATGTTGCAGGCTCTGGCAACAAAAATTGCTAGCTGTCAACAAGCACAGGGAAACATTGAGGAAAACGTTGCTACAGTGAGGGTTGAGTCCTTGAGCTTCAATAGTGTGTCTACACCGTGACCCAGAAAACAGGGATAAACATGGCAATTCATGTATGTCCAACTTGCTTCCAAAATGTATCTTTCAATGCCAGCTCCTTTCCAGAAATAATAGAAAACTCTGCTTTTCTTTGAATATATACTTGGTTTAAAATTGTTAGCCCAATATCATTTCAATAACAGTAAATTTTCTCATCACATTTATGTTGCTGATGACTGACTCGATGCTCTAGGCTGCTGCAAAATGGGAGGCAGAGTCCGTTCAGATGCTGTGGCATTACCTTTCCAAGCAGCACTTTAGGAAGGATAAATGCACTTCTGGTTCATGATTAGCATCTTACTTTCCAGCATTTTATACTCCTCGTATTTAGCAAGTTTTGCTTACTTTTTCCTTTCAGTGGAAAGGAAATTTTGAGAGGAATTGTCTGTCTACATGTATAATACAACTGACACTTCAAGAGGAATTTTACTAAAATAGATTAACAAGTAAAAATCTATAAAAATGTTGGTGGCATTCATCTCTCCTTTTTTGTTGTCTTTGTCTTTTTCCCTGGTGGTCTGTCTGTTCTAGTTTGTCCTCAATAGTATGGAATTATTTGAGTTATTTAATTAAGATCCAGATTTTGGATAAAATTGGGACTTTAGCTGGATGCTAATGAGAAGAAACTAGAATCGAATGCAGGTGCTTAGTTGGACCAGGGCTTATAGAGAGGGACTGGCTTTCCTGGCTGTTAAAAGATGATCTGTCTGTGATCTGAGGGGAACATCTGTTCATTTTCCAAGTGGGAGAAACAGCTGCCGAGTATCCTTGGAGACATTCTTAATGGCTCAAT